TAAGCGTAAATTGTAAAGCTCTAAAAACTGAGCAAGCAGAGATACTTCTGTTTCCCGTTTTTCTTTGTATGGAGGGGTACCAGGATTAACTTCGTGTCTTTCCTAGGGTTAGGATATAATAAAAGAGCAAAGACGAACAATTTCGGATGATTCAGCCTTTATTTCAGTGTTTTTATGCTTAAATTAGTCTCGTTAATTTTGTATTTTATTTATTTTTAAAAGTTGCTAACAATTCCTGACTTCAGAATTTCGCATTTACATGGTTACTTAAGCGTTTACTTATTTTCCATGTAATCATTTAACTAGTAATCGAAGCTGTCATCATTACCACCATCAGCGGGACCCTGCTGTTGTGTACTGAAATAGAAAGGAAAAACTAGCCTACGTGTAGCCGTACCCACCCTCCGAGGAAAAACGGGAGGCAGGGACGTTCTCCCGTTTTCCCTCGGGGGGTGGGTACGGCTACACGTAGGCTAAGGAAAAACTTGTGATTTTTTCAATCAGTTGTAAATTTTGCTTCCGTTTATCAGAGAGAAGTGAGGTTATGTCAGTAGCGGCTTTATGATTCAACGCAAATAATTTTTATGTCTTAAAAGATATTTTCCATGTTTTACTATACGTCCATATAGTCAAATACACCTTACTTTCAGCAGCAGTGGTAAAACTACAGGTGCGAGAAGGACATTTTATTTACTATATTTCAGTGCCAGAAAGTGAAAAAAATACACCAGGAATATTTAGCTAATTGGTATAGTTCTGTACGTATCTGCGGTCATATCTACGATAACCATTCCCTTACGGTTAACATGAAAAGAATACTTTTAATAATACTAGGAACAGTTTACTTGAGGGTCAGGGTTACAATCAAATTCATACGTACTTAATCAGGGCAACAGCATATATTTGGATGAGCTCCACAGTCCGGCATATAACCACAGAATGTAGTTCCTTGGGTGCACAAACCATACATACAGACACCGTTATAAGCACTACAGTGCACTAAAAAAAAAAAAGGAACGGATTGTTTAGGTGTTTGCAACAAAAACTCTTCAGTGCCCAAACTCATCTTCAGACGTATGCTACAACTCAGTTAAACAGAATTCAAACAACAAACGCTGTTGTCACCAATGCAAAGGAACACTCACTATCACGTTTAGCGCCAACATGCAAGG